CACGAAGTTAATCCCATTGAAAATAATCTACAAGAAACGATTTCAAATCGCGAAGGTGCGAAAACGAACATGTGATATAACGATATAAGGTCTCAAAAGTGATTCTGATTCTACCGCTCATCAGTCAAGGCCGTCTCAACATAACGAAACAATATCGTCTTCCACAGCGCGAGTTGGCATCGGAACGTAAGAGAAAGTCCTTGCGTGTATCGCTATATCGTTATATCGTCTTCTTCACTCGACGGCTTAAATCAGATTTCTGATGCATCGCTTGGAATGAAAGTTGCTGTATCGGTTTGCCGATATAGGCGTTAAATCGATATGTCGCGATATATCGATTTATAGCCCAGTCCTAATCAGGACCTTAAAACATATCGAGCAAATTTACGCGATACCTTTTGGATGAAACTGATTTTTCTGGACACGTACTATTTGCTTGATATATTTTATCGACAATTTGTTCGTTTCAATTGAAATTTTTAAAACGTTTGAAATATGTAAGTAAAAAAAATCTTATTACGGGATTTTCAATATCACTTAGAAATCTTCTTTTTAAACTATTAAGTCTGTGCAAAGTTTTGAAGAAAAAAAATGCTAATATTATTCTAGCTCCTTAAAAAGGGTATCGCTAAAGAATAAGAAATCAAAATCGCATTTTAAGGTTTTTCGCCAGTGTTTCAGTTCAGAGAAATATGCTTCTCGCGTTTTAGGGGAGTTTCGAAAGATGAGTTTCGGATTTAGGTTTTGGAATTCCCTTTAAGTGATGCAAGTGGAAAGAAAGAAAAAATAAAGCAATAAAAATATGGTCCAAGAAAGAAATCAGAAAATTTCGAAATAAGTTTTTTAAGGTCAGTTTTATTTCATACCTTTCATAGGATTCTCAGAATTGTAGACAGTCGTAATATTTCTTTACATTTGAAAAAAAAAAAATTCTTTTTTCAAAGGGAATTTTCACATAGCAAAAAAAAAAAAAAAAAAAATCTGTAATTTGCTTTTTTCGCAGCCAAATGGTTTTTTGTTATTTTGTTTTAAGTTACTATTTTTTAATTTTATAATAATAAAAAGAAAAATTCAGGTGTGCATTTCTTATAACTCTAGAAAAGTTTGTTACATTAACCTGAAATTTGGACAGCGGCTTCAAGGAGCGAATTTAGAAACCGATTCCAAAATTCATTCGAATTTTTCAATTAGAAACAGAAATGGGCTGTAGGTGGCGTGGAGCAGAGCTCTCTACTTATGGCAACACTCCATTCCACCAGTGGAGAGTCATAGAAGAAGGAAGTATGTTAGATTATGTCTTGATTTTCAAATAGATTTAAATCTTTTAAGTTAGGAAACTAAATGGAACTGAAAACTACATGAAACATAGTTCTAAAAGAAATAGTCATGGAAATTTAAAAAAAATATTTTTAGCAATTAAATACGAAAAATAATAAGAAAAGGAAAAATATCCACTACATTCCTATACAATTGAAAAGAGGAGGAGAGGGAAGGGTCAAAGGCATGGAACTGGTCTTCTCCCCAGATGGCGTATTCGAATGTTGCAATCGCCTATTAGTTCATTAGGTAGAGACGCATGAAAAATGAAAGATTTTCACTCGCCAAAAATGGGACTGACAGACGATTTTCTTTCTTTTAAATATTTTAAAGATTACAACAATGATATTTGCTAGCTTATAACTCTCTTTATCTAAAATTTTTTTTAAAAAATATCATTTTTATTTGTATGTCAGGTACATTCAATGATCAGCATGAACATAATAGCATTGGCGGATTACATCTCCAAATTAGTATTTCAAATTTTAGTTGAAATTATGTGATTATTTTGTTTATAGTTGCACTTTTAAAACGTGAAATTTATAATTGTGCTATAAAACTAAATAATGTTACATCAATAACTGAAATAAAAAATAATTAGCTATGTATTGAAAAGCAAAATTAGTGGAGAAATAGTACTAATTCATATAAGAGAAAAATATAAAACCACCATACTCTTATTGACGATGCTGGTTTAAATTTTGTTATCAGTTTATAATTTATTTAAAAAATAGCTTTGTTCTAGAAAGCAAAATTAATAGGGAATAAACACTTAATCTTTAGTGAATTGTGAAAAAACACCATACTGTAGTTAATTCCAATAAGGCTGTTAATATTTTTATATGTGATCTGCCGCGTCCACCGAAATCGCCAAATAAATTACAAACTTGAAATTTTTTTATAAAAAAATTGGACACTTGAATTGGAACATCTTATTAAAAATGGAATATTTTAAAAAAGTTTAAAATCAAATGTTTAATGGCATGGAGTGCCACTCCCTCCAAAAAACTCGAAACAAATTACATTTCAACTCAAGACTTTGTGGAAACCTTGCGAAAAAATAAACAGAAGATCTGAAATTTCTATTACACGTGTAATGCCTAATATTATAAATTGTATACATATTATATTTAAAACTAATACATTTACCAAACTTAAAACAAAATGTTTATACGGGAATAGGACGGAACAATTTTTTCTTCTATTGCCCATCGACAGTTTAATCATTCCAGATTTAGGGTTTGAAGAAATACGCAGAACACTTAGTTTCATTTAAATTAATATTTACACTTTCATTGTTTTTAAAATTAGTCTGTACCTAGCTTTCTGCTTCCTTAAATTTGAAAAAGTTCAGTTTCCACCACTTTCTTCCTTTTAAAAGGAGATATTTTATGGTAGTTATTTTGAATTTCCTACCTGAGAACATTAAGCTTCATTAAATTTAAAATTCATCTCATTGTATCCATAAATTTTTTCTGATAAATTCTAGTTTGTTGCATTAACATCGCTCATTAGCCCTTTATTGTGGAGCATAAAAAATTTATGCCCACATCCTGATAATATGTTCAATAAATAAAAAAGATCAATTTTCTCAAAAATCCATAAGTTTGAGATCGTTTTGAGCCGTTCTAAAAATCCCCATATTTTTAGTGAGGTGTTATTATGACACACCAATTTAGAATTGGGTCACTTTTTGTGGCACTTCATTTCCGATGGGCGTCTTTCCTCCCCAGATATTTACAGGTGTTTATTTTTCCCCAAATCAGATATTTTTAAAGAGATGTTAATATGATACGTGAATTATATTATAACTTGGAGACACGCTGGATTCGCGTCGATTCCATTGTAAATCTTCATTCTTTTTCTTTACTGCTATTGGTTTTTGGTCCTTTTTAGATATTTTCTGAAATTTTGTAATCAATCTGTTGTTTTCCCTCGTTCACATTTCAAAGTTTTAAAAACGATGTTATTATGACACATGAATTTCACATTTTATTTAACACTTTTGGATGTGTTCCATCTGCGAAGATTCCATCGTAAATCCACAGCAATTTCTGATCGTTTTTCAGTCATACCACATGATTTTTCGAATTTCGATGCTGTCAGGATACACAGAGTTTCGAATTTACATTATCTATTTTTGGTTCGTGACAATTTCACCATAAACTTATTATATTATTTTTTCAGTCATTCCAACTTTTTTTTCTTCTTTTTTTAAAATTTTTTACTACAAGCAGGATTTTAATTTGAGCTATAACTTTTTGATGCTTAAACAGTTATCACTGCTTGCAATGATACATTCACGTCGTTAACTGATCATTTTTTAAAAACAGTTACATAACGTTTTCTAGTTATTAAAACAAGAATTTTGAAATTTCGATATTATAAATACAATGCTATTGCTAAACAAAAAGTTCAAATTTAAGCTATCACTGATTGAAAGAAATATATTTTGAGACTTCGTCTAAAGAATCTTGACTATTTCAACACCTTTTCTCATATTCATGACAATAATAATTTTTGTGACTAGTAGATATGTAGCAGTGTTGAGTGTAATTCAGCAAAACCGGCTGGCCTGGCTCATGGGAATAATTACATCGGACACTTAGTTATGCAATTTGTTTGCTGCGTTCGGGCAATAAAAAACTAGGTATACAAACCTAAACTAAACTAACCATAAAGAAATTGTTTTGCTTATTCAACACATGAAACATATGTAATATTAAATTTTTAATCCCAAATGAAAAATGTACATAAAATGATTTTTACAAATTTAGACCAAAATCAATTAATTTTCATCTATGGTTTTTACAAATGCAATTTTCCTCTTGAAAAGAAAAATATACACATTGATAGTTTAACAGGATGAGCAGTTATTTGTTTTCTTCAACAGGAGGTAGTGGTGATGATGCTATTGCAGGATCAATACTTTTGAACACTTGATCCAACATATATGAATACATTTGAGCATTCATTTCTCGAACCTCACTCACACTCTCACCTCTAAAAGCTTCTTGGTACAAAGTTTCCTTTTTAGTGTCTGCAGAAGTAGCTTCAGAAACTGGATCCTCTAGACCCTGGAAACAAATTGACATTCAAATAAAGCATGGTCATATCCAGTTGGTTAAAAAAATTTTGAGACACATGTTCGATTTCAGCGGAACCCAGACTGTTAAAAAAAGTTTATTAGCAAGGTGTAAATATGAAAAACTAAAAATAAAACAGTTTCAATTAATTTAGAAATACTTTATGTGAAGAATAAAATTTTTTTATTGTTTCATCAAAGACAGTCTTACAATTAGGTTTTATTAGTGTTTAGTCTAAAAATAATCCACAATTCTTGAATTTGATTAGTTTAAATTTTAAAGTGCAATAAGTAATACTGATATAAACATTTGTAGATGCATAGCCTTTTAGTCATTTATTCAATATATTGTTTTGGAAAAAATATAAATATTCATTCTAAAATGTGCTTTTTTTTTAATTGGCATTTTACTCAAATAATTTTAAAATAACCTAATTATAAAATAAATAATCGATAATTGGTTGAATACAAACTTATTACACTGCTGGTTATAAAAAAAAAGGTCCTAACTAATGGAACCCTGATTTCGTAACTTAGACTGAACTAAATTTGAACTAATAAATTAGCATATTTGAAGTTAACCCCTCAAGCCATTAAGATTGAATCTTAACAAATGAAAATCTGATCATTTAATCAAGTTATTCTGTGTGTTTCATTATTTTTTTTAGTGTTGTACAGCCAAACGGCATACGTTTGCAGGTAACAGATTTTATCATTATTATTTTTTCTACAAACTAGCCTATTTCCAGTTAACAGGAATACAAACCAGGGTCACAAGTATAACTAGAATCTATACAACTAATGTATTCAGTCAGTAAGCACTTAAAGGCATTTAACTTGATAATACAGAAATTTTTCTCTAAACCTGACTTAATTATACATTAAATGCTGCAAATTCTTATTGAATATCTTATCTTCTAGCAAAAAAGTTGTAATTCAAATCACAAAAAAAAGAAATTCATACACCAATGCTTCCAAAACAATGCAAGGTAAAAAGAGTCCACAATATTTCATATAAAAAAAAATTAATTGCTCATAAAGCTATTAGGTTCAATTCTATGAAATTAGGCCTTTCAAATTGTTATTAATTAACTTATAATGAAGATGAATTAAGCAGTAAGCAATATTTCAACTTACATATAAAAGAGCAGGAGGATAGTGATTATCAAGGCTTCCAGCACAGATCTAAAGAAAAAAAAATAATAAAATATTAATGTGCATTTTGTACAAAAGTATAAAAATTAGTAAAATTTTAAACTTTACTTCTTAAAAATTAATAACTGAAATTAGTAATAAAAAAATTAATAATTGCTTATACCCGTGTACACGTCATCGTTTCAAATCCCAAAAATCAGAGGGTTGACTTTTACTCCAGTAATTATGTAAGACATTCGCAGATAGTGAAATTTTAATGCATTATAAACAATGAGATAGATATAAATAGCTTTGCATTAATTTACCTACGTGAAAAAACATTTATATACAGTTAATTTTGCATTTTCTCTAATCTTATTTTCTTCACATATTAAGTTTTTCTTTAGAAACAATAATTTAAATCATGTTCAGAAAAAAAAAGTTAAGATAAGTGATTCATTAGTATTTTAAATAATATAACAATATGAAAACTTTTAAAACACATCATTTAGCTACAAATTTCAAAATTCTAGAACATCAAATGTGTCAGATTCAATAATTTTAGCAGTGTCATCATAGGCATCCCACGCTGCAATGGATTCTACTGCATCCTCATCTACTGAGTCTCACCATAAATCATCTTCACTTCTTTTACTTCCACTCTTTTTGAGAGATTTTAAAATAAAATAGAAATTTTCATATTTGAGTTTTTCAGCAGTAGATTTAGACATTCGACAAAACAGTAATTTGCTAAATCGTAATAAAAAATAGGGGGTTGGCCTATACCCCGGAATATACTGTAAATTAAAATAAATGTTGTTACCTTTCCCATTGAACCGATTTATATTTAAAATATTTTAATACGATTACCTCATTTATTCAAATGTAAACCACACTTTCTCTCTATTGTAAATTTTAAGGAAAATCATGTGCAGCTTAAAATGAAATATAGAAAAATTCATTGGTTAAAAATTCTGGAATAGGTATCAATTGTGTAGGAAATAAGTTTTAAATTAGACTATAATGCATTCCTCTCAGAAATTTTGGGTAACAAATACATTGGATGGCAGAGAAGAGGACATCAGGTGGAAAAATGAGGGGCACCAGCACCATTTCCGAAGAAGGTTGTGATAATAGTTGAAAAGAAAATTGAAAATTTTTGGAATATGATACTGATGGTTAGAGCAATTATAGGTTAATTTATGTATATAAAGTTTTTAACACTGGTAAAATAAATTATTTATTCATTTCTTATTAGTTCACATTTTAAATTTCTTTACTTTCATAAATGTTGAATATCGCCAAACTTTTTTATACTATTTTTTCACAAAAACAGTTGAGAATTTGGGATTTGAAAAAATATAGCAATCAGAAATTTAAAAACTTACTGAAATTTACACTAATGCTGTTAATTCAGCAGTTTATTTTGCAGTTTAAAAAAATTCATTTACATAATAAATTGTTTAACTATTGTCAGCATAAAAAATCAGTATCAGTTAAAGTAAAAAGTATCAATATATTTTTATTCCTACATATATGCATTGTGAGGATAGAGAAAATTATCATAAAAAGCAAAACATTAGAATAATTATAAATAATGAATGTTATATTTGAGCAGCTAGTTTAAATGTGAGAATACTACAAAACTATGGGGAAAAATTAGTTTTGCTTTCAATGGTTATTATAAGACATTATATATTTGTCTTATACTTAAGCTTTGTGTGGAGTTAGTCATTAAATATTGTTTGGATCGTCAATAAGTAATTTAAGTCTTGATTTACGTACAGTTATGCCAGCCTCCAGTGTGAACCAGGCACTCCTAGTAGTCAGCAATTGAACCCTGGTCAAATTTTATTTTCATGCTTTTGAAAAAGCATGTGGAACCATTTTGTAGAAGCTGCGTTGTAGGGCATGGGATCAGTGCTTAAGAATAATAATAAAATCATTGAGTTTTATTTTATTTTATAACCAGTGTCGAACAGCTAACCTGATTCTCAGTTTAGGACTATCAATGTTCAACTCCATAACCTTGTAATTTTGATATAATAAACCAACATTTGGAATGCATGGCATTGTACACTTTAAAGCACAAAAAAAATGGATTACTGCGAATAATTTTTGAACCAATGATCGGATCTTCACATTCTAGAATTCATTCTTAATGGTGAGAGCTGTTCAAAGTTTGGAACCCTTAATGTTAATATTACTTTCGGTGTATTTCACTATTTCTTGAGTACTCTTTAAGCGAATTGAAAAATATTAAAACTCATTTGTCCAAAGATAATTCCATTAAAAAAAATAATCTTTATTAAATATCTATTATTGCTTATTATGATAAGCTATAATATTTATATAATGAAACAATTTATATAATGATAGTCGAAAAAACTTTGAATTGTAAGGTATAAATTTTTTATATCATTTCAAAGTATGTACTTTAACATTGCAAAATACAAAATTTGAGCATAATCAGTTGAATAGTTCTTGAGAAGTCAAATTTTAAATATCAGGGATAAGATTAGCCAAAAGGCAAAAAAGCTGAATTTCCACGATAGTAAATTTTACGCAAGCGCAACCCTTTAATAATAAATTCCAGACAGTTTAAGGTAATAAATAATGTGTTGACATACAATTGTGTACTAATCTATTATTATATAAATGATTACATTGATACTTAACATTTAGTGAAAATAAAAATTACCAATTGAAAAAATAAAGATGGAAATTATATTTTTCCTCAGTTCACATAAGAGACAATTATTACTTGAAAAACTACCTGGCTTAGCAAATTAAAACTACTGAGAATGTACATTAATATTTCATTTCTTTTAATAAATACTGCTATGTGATTTATAACAAATATATCAGTAATATTATTTTTTAAATTATATTGGGGAAAAAAAACTTTAACAATGGACCAAATCATTATGTTCATGTTATAGTCTAATCTAACTAGAGCCCTTTGAAACATATCAATAACAGTGAAGTAGAAATATATAGTAACTCCTTAACATACAAAAATTGGTATTTTAGTTTGAAAAATTACATGACAATCAGCAACTGTTTAGATAATTGTTTTTTATTTGATAAGAATTTTG